ATTTTTTCCTAGTGAAAAGTTTTTTTGAAAAATTTTTAATAAAAGTGATTGCCAGAAAAAGTTGCAAACATATTTTAACTTTACTTGGTATTATCTAAATAATAATTTAAAAGTTATATCTAATATTATATCTTCTAAATTAAATCAACTCAAAGTCTTCAGAGTTAAAAACCTACTTAATAACTTGCTAATTTACTTTCACTTTTACCAAATTTTCCTAAGCACTTTCTAAGCAAATACTTGCTTCTTATACAATGCTATTGATTTTTTCTATATACTGGCTTAGTTGCTATAGCTCTTAGTTTCTTATTTAAATTATAAGTATATCTATTATAGAAGTAGTTATTAAAAACCTTGGAACATTACACCTTCACAATATAAAATAAAATAGACCTTATTCAATTTTATCCATTATTTAACTACTCCATAATATTGTTACAACAAATATACTATATACTTATTACTACCAAAGATCTTATTTTATTATAACTATTGCAAGCACTTCAGACTTTTGATTTATAACATAAGGTAGTAGCTGAGATTATTATCAAATACTTCTAAAAATATCTTCAAAGATTCATAAACAAATCTAGAAGCCATATTGTAAAAGGTTCACAGTATAAAAAAGACAACAGGGTATACAAACTTGTAATATAGCAAATACAACACAAGTACCAACTCACAAATATATTAAATACTAATAAAGAAAGCTTATTTATATATGCCTCTGTGGTTTTGCAGATCAACTGCACAATGATAACAAAAAGTGCCCTCTTAAAAGATAAGCATTACAAAAATTTCACTATTGGTTCACATTATAGATTCAATACAGTATATCTTCTAACTATTAACTATTAAAACCTAGGTGAGTTTCTGACCACTCTAGCAGGTTTAGGTTGCAAATAACTAGTTTAGTCAAAAGCCCTACTTTAATAGAGCCTTTGGTTGAGCTTTTATCTTTTTGTTTGTATACAAATTAAGTCTTTATATAGTTTCTATGTAATTACTTGTATAAATTACTCAATAAAAATACAAGCAAGGCCTCATCTTAACAACAAAAAAAAATAAAAATAAAAACTAATTTAAATTAAATAAATATTTTTGTTAATTTAAATTTGGTTTAATTTAAAGAAAATATTTATTTGGTGCAGGGTGCACCATGTGCCCCCCTATGAAAACTATGAAAAATGTAAATCTAAGAATAATTAGGGTTAGGTTAGGATTAGTGTTAGGGTTAGTGTTAGTGTTCGGGGTTAGGGTTTGGGTTAGGTAAAATTGTGAGAGGATTATTTTTTGTTAGTTACACAACAGGGTTACCCTAGTAAAATTTTGAGCTATAGCAAAATTATTGCAAAGGGTGCACATAGTGCAGGGTGCACCAAAAAATAATACCCTAATTTAAATTATTTAAATTATTTTATATTTAAATTTTATTTAAAAATAAGACTAATTTATGCCCCCAGTTATAATCTTTTTGAAAATACAATTGCTATCAGAGGTTAGAGTTATAGTAAGGTTAGAATTAAAAAGCATATATATAGGTAAAATTTAGTGCTAAGCATTTTTAGTTAGTAGTATAAAGTTTAGTTTTCATAATAAAATTTAGAGCTATTATGTAACTAGGCGATATCACCAAGAGAGTAAGTTAACAAAGTTAGCATTACTTTTTATTTAATTATAAATTTAAATTTAAATTTGATTTAAAATTTTAATTATTTTAAAATTATTAAATTGTAAAAATTTTTACTAAAATTAATTAATTTGTAAATTAAAAATATATATTTAATCAAAATACTATTAATAATAATTTTATAAGAATAAAAAACTACTAAAATTATATTTTATTAACTATAAAATTTAAATTAAATCAAATATTTCTTGATTTAATTTGAAAATACATATACAGTATTTAAATAATTAAAAAAACTCTAAATATAATATTAATATTAATAAAATATTAATAAATTTAGGCATATGGGATCTTTGCCTTGAAAATCACGTTATGAGACATATGATTTACTATGTCCCATAACGTGATTCTCTAGGAAAAGACCCATACTTTATCAGATATGTCTATCGAAAATGATACCCTTCCGATAGGTGAAAATACGCGTCCAAATTTTTAAAATTCGGCCTGTGTAAGTTATACCTTTTATCTTTATCAACATCGATAATCACCAAGACTATATATATGAATTCTGTCAATAGAAATAGCATCTCTAAAGAAAAATCAATATCTCGATAAATTTTAAAGTTGTCTTAAATTAAAAGTAAAAATGCTCGAGTCTCAACTTTAAAATTATTAAGATAACTGCAGGATTTAGAGATATTAGCTGTGAAAGTCAAGATATCGTCCTTTTTTTTTTTAAAAAAAAAAAGAAATATCAATCTGCCTTAATTCTATTGACGATAGTCCAAATGTTTCGACAGAATACGCCATCTTAATGGATTTTCGAGAATAAGTAAGGCTTTACGTTAGTCCTGCTTGATTCTGATTCCCTTATTGTAAAATTCACCATTCTGTTCTACAGTAACAAGATTATATCAACCTCAATCTCGCCAATTTTTGAATGCAAAGGGAATTGCTGAATTGGATGAACTAGTTATATCATCCTAACCGAATTCTGATAAACAATATATTATATTTATCATTTTTAACATCAATAAAATGGTTAACCTCTGTCTTGAAATCACGCATTTCTCTAAATTAACAAGGCCAAGCATATCCATATCGATATCGCCTGCCAATATATTAACTTTAATTGTTCGGAATCCACTAAATAATTTAATAACATGGGCTTGGTGCTGGAAAAAGGAACGAAGGTGACAAAAAAAAAAAATTCTTTACAAAAAATCAATTACTTTACAAACTATCGATCAGAATCACATGATTTTGGTACTATTCGATTGTCTCGATGAGATGAATCGAATGGTGCCAAAATCATATGATTCTGATCGATAGTTCTCTAGATAATTAATTTTTTGAGAAGAATACCTTTTTCCAGCACCAGCCCACATATATTGTGATTTTAATATTATCAGCCTATTAATAAATCAATATGCGTTTATTTTATACGTATATTTTGTAAGACAATATCACCGAACTCGTATTAAAATTAAATTATACCATTTACGCCGAACATTAGCTATCGCATGTTACGGAATAATTCGGAAATTCCAAACAATTTCATAATCCTGTCAAAAAAAAAAACCAAACCATTAAAAAAACGTGAATAAATTACGAATGAAGATCTAGTATAAATTTGAAAATTTTAAGTGGATATCACCCGTTGACAACAATGACTACTTCATACAATAATCTTAATTTTTCACAATCAACAAAACGTCAAATTTAAATGCTATAACCAAATGAGTTTGCCGAGTTTTTTTTTTTTTTTTTAGTAATTGCGTTTTTTTTTTTGAGCTTCATGATTCACCGGAGATTCAGATCAAATACACAAACATATATTAGGTTTAAAAATAGAACTATACCTTTTCGAGATTTAAGAAATATATGGAACCTTATACAGTATGTAAAAGATTTAAAGTAGAGACACATATGAGTATGTAAAAACGCGAAAATAAAATCTTACGAGGAAATGAAGCTTATGTAATAAAATAAGTTATGAAAATATGACTCGTACAAAAAAACATTTTAAAAGTTCGATGTGTTCTTTTATTTTAAACACGTGTGATAATTCAAATAAGTGATTGGTGTATTAAACTCATGTACTACTCAAATAACATGGCCTCGCGTGATGAGTCGCGTTATTTAGCCTTCTCAAACTGGTATTTACTCTACGGGACCCTGAAAAATCTTAACAGTTAGCGTGAATACGTAACTTATGTATATACTTGTGAGATCGTCTCAATAGCATAGTCGGATATCCTATGAAATCAAAGGATTTTTGTGGCTGACATGATTTGTGGGAAACCAATAACCTATTGGTAATCATTATGTAAATTATGTAAGGACTTTCAAACATTTGATTTGTATAATTTTTAATTATGTTCTAATTAGCATTAGGACAGGCGCTAAGAAGATTTCCCGAGACGTGATAATTTTCAAATTTGTAAATTGAATTTTTAATTCTAATCTTAAACATATGATCAGAATGGAATTCTTCTCTTTAATAGGATAATATTTATTTAATTATGATCTATATCATTTTCTGACCACATTTTGAAAATTCGGAAGTTTACCATTATTGTTATCGATTGTGCTTTTTTTTTTCTTATTATTAATAATATTTTTTTTTGGGGGAAAAAAAAAATGTGAAAATTGTTGTTTATGTTACCTAAACTTTCGGAAGCACATTGAAAGTATTATATTTTTTAAGCATAATAACAATCTGTAAGCTTGACATTTTTAATTTGGTTCTACCATATACAGAATATATAATACAGTACGTAATATTGTAATATAACGAAGTAAGTGGTCACGTGCATGCGCCGTTACCTGTTACACGCATATAAATCAAATTTGATAGTTTCCTTATGAAGAATCGGAAAAAAAGATACTCATTCAATTTGTGTAATGAAAATAGATTTGCAAAAACAAACATTTTTTTGTTAAACTCATATAATATTAATCTTGGACGAATCTCACTAAACCTAAAAAAAAGAATTGGAAAATGGTGCTTCTATATAATTTAAAATATATGTTTGCAATTACTAAATACTGCATATATCTATAATAATTTAATATCGATATACCATGATTATTCATGTTACAGTATTTCCAAAATGAAAATTGACAATTTTTAATTAAATCACTTGATTAGATTTATTTTCAATTGTGCGTAGAATACATCAGGAGATTGGTCTGAAAATCACGGAGTCCATCCATAAAAAGGACTTTTTTTCGAAACTGGAATTCTACGTTTTTTTGACAAGCTACTCTCAACTTAAATGGCAAAACAAATAATTGACCACCCCAAATTATTGTCAGACTCTATTTTTTGAACAAATAATCTTAAGAATTAAAGCGGCGTGTAAAAATGATTGGTTGTTATTCGTCAAAACTTGGAGGTGAACCTTGACGTAAGACGTTCTGAAATTTTTGTTTTAAAAAGACTCGTTACAGACTTTTCTAATCTAATCAAAAAATCTATCGATGATAAATAAACATACTCTTTTGGAGTCCTTAATGTCAAATATCCTAAAATTAAACCTAATTTAATGCAAAAATCTTTTAAGATGGTTAGATACGGATATCCGAACGGTATTTATTGTTTTATGAAAGGGTTTCAGAATTATTCGCTCTTGACAACTAACACAACTAACCAATTGTCACTCTCAATTCAGTTGATGAAGAAGGATTCTTAACCTGTTACGTTCCTCCTCAACTACGAAAAATCAAACTTAAAAGGTCAAGACCAAGATTCCAAATAATCGGTGGGCGTGATGAAATTTTTAATTGGTTGGAAGAGCACGGCGATGTTGTATGCGAATACAACCAAGAGTTCGATTTTCAATTCAATCATCACAGACGCTCTGATTATTCAAGATCTAAAGTGAATGCTTTAGAAATTCCAGTACTCTTGTTTGACCTTTATTATGATAAAGAAAATAAAGATGATGATTCATCTCATCAACATTCTGTGATTAAAAAGATTTTTCCTTTCAACGGTAAAAGGAGGATGGTAATGGAAATTAGACCCCTCATTCGTGGTGAAGAATATGAACATCCTAAGAATTTGTTTCGAAGGAATACTGGTATAAGTGGGGTAAAATTACGACAGATTTTGAATGTGTGGACGAATTCTTCTTCTTTGCAACGTCAACGGGATCCAAGAGCAGCATGTGATTATGAATAAATTAAGTTTCTTGTTAACAAAAAAAAACCCCCCATTATATGCCAACTTTTTACTTGTATTATGCTTCATATTACAACTTTCCCTACTTCTTTTTATCTAGGATATAATTAATATACATGCTAATTTATTTTTATTAATCCCCTTGATCAATATGTTAATAAGCGGAACTTCGTTTCCGCAAATCCCCAATAGATCAGGATTTTATTATTATAGATGTTCTTTAAGATTTCTTTAAGTATTATTAACTAATACACATAAAAAAATTAAAAGTAATTACTTCATATGTAATTTTGTAATTAAATAAAAAAAAACATACGATTAATCAATCCGCGTATTTTTTTTTTTTTTTTTGCGGATCTTGTAAAAAACATATGTACGTGGTATATATCAGATATTATGTACTTACGATCTCACCTGTGTTACTTATCGTTATATAAAAAAAAATTTTTAAACTATGCTGTACTGCCGTAACGCAGGTTACATCATTATGTCATCACGTGAACTATCAAAATTCCAGTATTCTGTGTTACCATTACTTTTGAAATTTTATATCGCAGTTCTTTTTTCACGTTTAAAATTAATTTAAACGTTTAAATTAATAATAAAAAAAAATGTCTGAAACAGAAGATTTTGGAACATCCTTTGAATTAACAGAAAATGTCGTTTCTCCTCGTGGCAATCAACTTAAATTTCAACAGTCTGATGTATCAAGTTCACTCGGAGCGGCTCAGTTAAGAATTAAGAAACCGCCGTATCCTCTAATAATTCCTAGTACTCAACCCACTGGAAGTCGAATAAAACTGAATGCTCCCTCACGAACTACAAAAACTGCTCAAAAGCTGGTTTTACTTCCTGAGGAAACTGAAATACCACCTGGTGATCTTTCTGACTATGCCGAAACCCCAGTCACTCCCTCAGGTCCACATTTACCAGTTAGTTTTTATGATTCTACCGATGCTGAGAGAATGCCCAAGGAAAGTAGAGAGATCAAAAAATATCCGAGGTAAGTGTATATAATTATATTTAATAAATTGTACTTTACTAAATTCTTCTAAATTAATAATCATCTAATTAAAGGGCAACTGCTTATTGTACGGCTGAAGGTTATTATCTTAAAAAATTGATGAATTTTTTGAGTGATGAACACAATGTTCAACCAATGTACCTTATCAATTATTATGGTTATATTTTATTATCAATTTTTTGAATTTATTGTTTATTCAAATTTATCTATTATTAATATTTGATAGGTTATACGATGAATGTTTATATGCTCCTTACCATTTTCCATTATTGAGAGGTAGAAATACAAAGATTTCTTCTTCCACTGCAATACAATCGCCTAATGGTCGTTCATTTATGGAGAGTCAGATAGAAAATTATGAAAATAATGAAGATAATTCTTATTTTGTAATGTCTGAAAATGAAGATAGTTATGATAATGTTGGAATAAGTGAATCTTTACCAAAACCTATTCAGAATACTCTTTCAAATATTGGTGAAGTTTTCTTTTTTGATTATGGTGTAGTTGTATTTTGGAATATGACTGAAGATCAAGAAAAAATTATTCTTGATGATATTGCTATGTCAAAAGTTTCTGTTCGTTCATTAAAAGCTGATGATATTGAGTGTGAGACTTTTCATTTTCAATATGACCTTACTTCCACTAGACAACCTAGAATTTTCAATGATATGATTACTTTGAAGTCTGATAATCATATGATTAAATTAACTATCAGTCATGCTATGAGTCAGAGTACAAAATTAACTTTTTATGAATGGCAAATGGAAAGTACAATCGCAAGAACAAAGCATATACCAAAAATGTTGGCTCAAACTGGGTGTTTGAATTTGTAAGTAATTTTTCATAAGTAATTTTTCATAAGTAATTTTTCATAAGTAATTTTTTGTAAGTTATTAAATATGATCTGATTTATTGACTTTTATTTCCAGGGATCGAACTCAAATTACAAAATTAAGCGGTGAAATGTTTAAGTTACGAATGAATGTTAATCTAGTGTCTAATGTTTTAGGTAAGTTCAGAAATGACTCGATTATTTTTTTAAGTGTTTATTATATAAGTACAGTACATATGTCATATATTATTTCTTTATAGATACACCTGAAATATTCTGGTCAGAACCGTCTTTGGAACCACTATATAGCGCCATCAGAGGTAATTCAATATTATATTATGATTATTTTTTTTTTAAAAAAAAAATTATTATTAAGGTTTTTACTAATGTTATTCGGTTCTTAGCATATCTTGAAATTTCTCAACGTGCCAATCTTCTTAATGATCGATGTAAAGTCATTAGTGATTTGTTAGATATGTTGCGTGAAGATGTTGGTAATTATAACATGACACGCATTACGTGGATCATAATCTGGTTGATCGTTGTGGCAGTTTTTGTAGCCATTGTAAGTACTTGTTTGATATTCTTGTAGTTCTTGGTAGTTCTTGATAGTTCTTGATAGTTCTTGATAATGATCCAATTTCGAAAATTCAAATTATTTTTATGTATTTCTTGCCTTATTAGGGTGAAATCGCCGTGAAAGCTTTATATTTCTATGGATAAATCATAGAAGTAGTAATGAACTTCAAGATGTACTATTAAGCAACGATATTTCAAGTGGATTTTATAATATAGAATTATCGCATGACGAACATGTGAACATTGTGAACATTAACTTAAAACAATAATAATAATTTTTGGGGTATTTTTTTAATGTGGATAATAATTCTTCAAAATGTATATATTTTTTTGTAAAATTCAAAATGTTAATATCTGTATTATTTAAACTTATTGAAAAAGAGATTTTTCTAGGACATTAGAGACGGATGAATTTATTCTGTTGGGTATGATCTTCAAGATGAATCAATATAAATCAATAAATGTATCCATTCATCAACATTTCTAATAAAGAGTCTTTGTAAAAATCCATTTCAGTTAACCGTATACATGTATGTTTATTGCACTTTACACAATCAACAAAGATTTCAAAGATTTCAAAGATTTCAAAGATTTTAAATATTTTAAATATTTCAAAGATTTCAAAGATTTCAAAGATTTTAAAGATTTCAGATTTTAAAGATTTCAGATTTTAAAGATTTGAATATTTTAATATTTTGGAGGCGATGAGAAAATCTCAGATCACGTTACGTTAGGTGGCTTCGATGTAATATCTTGAATCTTTACCTAAAATGAATATGTGACCTGAATTTTGTCCGATACTAGTCTGAAAGCAGAAAAGTGAAATTTTGAAAATTGTGTTGTTATCGTTACCTGTTCTTCGTTTGAGCACGGAACAATATTTCTTATCTATCGTAGTACCGATTTGATTATCTATTAAAAGTATTCGATATTCTTATCAGGAAAACTGCGACAAACATTTAATTGTAATAATCTTGTTTGAATGTGGGTTTCACAGGTCAGTTGATCGTACCTATGTCAGATATGTATTTGTTTTTTTCCCCTTTTTAGCTTTAAATGGTGAATTTTCAAAAAAAAAAAAACCTCCCATTTGATAAAACGGTAAAGTAATCTAAATTTACTTATTTTGAGTCCCCTTTAGATTAATATGATCTTGATGCATTAACGTTAGTACAGGGATGATTAGTAATGATTATAATCATCTTAAATATGATACGAATACCCGATTCATTAGTAAGTTTTTTTTTTATTTTATATCGGATAATTGGCTTTTATACGTATGGTTTATAATGTTAGCTCGAATTCTTAAAACTTGGTAGACATGATGATCAATGTTTGTCGTTTAAATGAATTTCAACACGTATTGGCCTGATAAAATGCAAACAATACATTTGTGCCTTTATGTTATGAATTACAAAAATTATTACTTATTTTTGATGATTGCTGATTTGGATAACTAAAGATTATTTTAATTATCTCTTGTGTACGTTGTACTTAACTTCCCTACATGTCAAGAACCTATCATTTTGTTTACGACAATATTAACATCTTTTAGAGGTTCCAGGGTTTAAATCGATTATGTATTTTATTATATGTTATTGAATGATTTTATTGTTATTGGTATTTAAATTATTATTATTTTTTTTAATATTGTAGTTGGACCTTTCGGACCTTAGGCATTCACTCTGGACTTAATGTTCGTTGTTATACCAAAATTACGTTTATATTTTCCGACTAAATGATGGTCTCTCCGAACACGGATATTTTTTTAGAATAAATGACATAAATTTCCTTCCTGAAATTATCACTGGTTCTCATCGGCTTGTGCAATACATATTTGATCCTTTTTGCGCAAATTCTTGTTTTTTTTTATGTAATATATATACGGTCAGCCGTGAAACATGTCCTATATTTTGATAGGCTCAAGAGTTTATCTTTAACACTTTGTCCAATCCGGAACTTTACCCCCCAAGAAAGTACCTCACAAGACCACAAACAGAAAACCCAAAGCTATCTGTCAACGAACCCTGGTTTTATCGGTCACTCCCCCCGTTCAGTTACCACACCGCGCTCTTTTTCTCTTCTCGGGCTTCAGAAGCCCAAAGTTGTATACCTACACGTATACATCCTTCTTCATTTTTTTTCTTTAAACTCATAAAATTAAAAAGGACACTTAGCACTTTATAGATTTTTTTTTTTTATTCCTAGCGTCAGTAGCTTATAAACTCTCTTTTCATACTCAACCCTCATCATCAATAATTTTGGTACACAATACATTACAAATTCCAGCATTAATGGCGGCAACAATTCACTTAACCACACAACAGCAAAATTCTACACATCCTCAGCATGTCCAATTGCAGTCTGCAAGAGGCCGTCCAGTTTCTACTCCTGTTCCAATGAATTATCCTCGATATCCTGAAATACCTCACCCTCCACCACAAGTAACTCAAAGCTCCGCACGAAGGGGCAATATGTTTGGCCCATATCTACTGTTACAAACTTTGGGCGAAGGTGAATTCGGCAAAGTTAAACTTGGTATGCATGTGGACACTGGCGAAGAGGTAAGATCTTTGCAATTGTACTATAAATTACTAGAATTAATCCCCTTTTAATTTGATCTATTTGGCCTGCACTTAAAGTTTTTTTAACCTACCAAGTTCTAATCGTATCACTTTTCAAAATTTTAAATTTATAAATATTTAAGGTTGCAATCAAGCTCATACGTAAAGAATCGGTGGATACCCCATCTAGACTTACAAAAATTGAAAGAGAAATAGGAGTATTACGGGTATAAACCAAAATTTTTAACTCCATTTTTATCAATACTTGATATTATATCATTTCTAAATTATTTCGCTACGTCGATAGAGTGTAATGCATCCGAATATTGTAAAATTATATGACGTGTTCGAAGCAGATCGGTATATTGGCATTATTATGGAATACGCCTCAGGTAATTGTAATGTAATTTATATTACATATATATTTTTATATCGTAAACGAATTAATTAATAAATAATTGTTACATATATATTATATATAATATTTTATAGGTGGTGAATTATTTGATCATATATTAGCACATCGATACCTCAAAGAACGAGATGCTTGTCGATTGTTTGCACAACTCATTAGTGGAGTGAATTATTTGCATCAAAAAAATATCGTACATCGAGATCTTAAACTAGTATGTTTATGTCATATTCCATATTTTCATTTAATATCAACTATTATCAACTATTATCAACTATTATTAAATATATTAAATAATACAATTACCTTTATCTTTTTTTTTTTTTTTTTTTTAAGGAAAATCTCTTACTAGATCGTAATAGAAATATTATAATTACCGATTTTGGATTTGCAAACCAATTCAATGGTGCTCATGACGATTTAATGGCTACATCTTGTGGTAGTCCTTGTTATGCTGCACCAGAATTGGTAATCAGCGAAGGATTATATGTTGGAAGTGCTGTGGATATCTGGAGTTGTGGTGTTATTCTAGTATGTAAATTTATACAATTTTATTCGATTAGTTCATCTTTTATTTAACTTTAAATATATAATTTATTTATTTGATAATAGTACGCCATGTTATCAGGATATCTTCCTTTCGATGATGACCCTTCAAACCCCGATGGTGATAATATCAACTTATTGTACAAATACATTATTAATACTCCGTTGGTATTTCCTGAATATGTAAGCCCTGATGCTAGAGATTTACTTAGAAAAATGCTTGTTCCTGATCCGGCAAAGAGATGTGATATGAAGACTATAATGTCTCACAGGTAAATTTGTTTTGTTCTATTTTATTTGATTTAATTTTATCTTACTAATTATTTTCATTATTGCTCAATCAGATGGTTGATGCCATATTCATCACTATTTGAATATTCCACCCAAGAACTGGAGGTGATTTTTTTTATCTTAAAATAATTAAACAATTAATTAAAATACCAATCAAGCTTTATCTCTTGTGTATTCATATATATATATATTTCTTTTTATACAGGAGGCTGCAACTCAGATGAATTCATTAGCATCACAAGATGCGTATATCCCATCCGGAGTTTCAATTTCAACCAATTTCTTAAGCGCTGATTATGTTGTGGAACAACCTAGTAGTGATGCTTCCGGTAATATTACCGTTAAACGTCATACCATCCAAGTAGAATATGATTACCCTGATAATAATGCTGAAGGATACGCCGACTATCCTGATGAAGATTTCCAATTTGTCGATGGAACTCGTCTTGGCTCGACTATTGTACCTGTAGCAACATCAGATATGATATTAGCTGAAGAACAGGAAGAGATATTAGCAAATGATTATGACACTTCCAAAAATGATGCATCACAAAATCTTTTGACGGCTACTCCATATTCTAAATCTGAGAAACATTTTAGTATAGCATCAAATGGATCTGGTAATTCGGATAAAAGTAGTGGACCAGGAAGTACTCCACCAGGAACTCCATCAACAACAACAACAAAAAATTCTGCAAATGCTGGAACTGGCTTGTTCACTTTGTTTGAAAGTGATTCCAATAGTATAAATAAATTCAAAGATAAAACTCCACAAATTAATAATGTAAATAGTAATCTTGTTCTACCACCTCCAAATGACAATTTCCAACCAGATTTACAAAAGAGCACATCTCAAACACCCAAAAAGAGGGATGCACCACGCACTAGGCCCGTAACTGTACATGGTCCTCCATCGGGGTCTCAAGACTTTTTATCAATGGTACCAGGGTATAAACCAACTTCTACAAATACATCTTTGAGCGTCACGGCTTCATCACAACATAATAATGATAATTCACTACAACCAAAACTTCCTCCCTCAACTACACCGCCTACTATGCCTTTACCTGCTATTCCGGATCGTCAGGATTCATTATCACCTGTAAACCAAAAGAGACACAAAAAGGCTTCTTCATCTGAAAGAGTTAATCATTATACAGGAAATAATAAATTACCAATAGAAAAGGATTCTTCGATTACAAATAAAATTAACAATTCTGGTGCAATCAAAGAATCGAATTCAATTAATTCGAAAACACAACCCTTACAATCAACACAAGTATCACCACCACCACCACCACCACCATCATCATCACAAAATATTGATATACATTCTGATACTGCTTCAGATTCAACTAGCCTTATGGATGATGGTAGTGATTCTAGGAGTAAGATAGGTGGCAAAAGGAAAGCTTTGAGTCTTATGGTTGAAACATTTAAAGGACCGAATAGTCATTCTGCGCATAGCGTTGTTTCAAGCAATAATACATCAACAAAAGATAAGAGAAAAACTCTTGGTAGTGGTATTTCTTCTAGTAGTTCGAGCGCTGCTAAGAAAGTTATGGATTGGTTTAGAAGAAAATCTTTGGGTAAGCTGTGGTTTTTTTTTTACACGTATAATAAATTATTTATAATAAATTATTGTAAATTCTAATAATTTTATTTATTTTATTTATTTTTAACAGCAAAGGATCCTACAACTGCGCCGCTTATTCCTACAGGAACGACAAATGGCGGCGTTTCCGCCAATCGTACCAAGAGCAAAACCAAGAGACAAAAAAATAATCCCGCATTGGTTGTCACACAACCTAATAGTAGTGCAAATTCTCCTTCGTCATCACGCCAATCCACAATGACTTCAGTTTCTAATGTGGACACTAAACTTCGTATACATCATGGTGTTGTCGATAATCTAGCTTTGACTGAACGACCTCCATATGAAATTTTCATAGTGATTAAACAAGCCCTAGTTAGTATGGGTATAGAAATAAAACGCGAAGGAGAATTCAAAGTTAGATGCGTGAGGCGCAAGAGAAAGGTTGATAACAAATCTTCTGCTAAAGATAAGTCTCTAAAAACTCTAAAAAACAAGGACACTTTAACGTCGGAAGCTTCTGAAAATGTATTAGATATTGAAAAGAAACGCAGAAAATATTCTAGTGGACCATTTAAAACATTGTTGCGCCGTACAAGTTCAAACAATACCAGTCAATTATTATCTACATCATTATCAATCAATCATAAATCAAATAGATCAGACGAGTCGGCACCTGCTTCTGCACCAACTAGTCCGACAATAGGTCCGATTATGACACTTACGGGTCCAACAGATGGTCCTACCTCAACCTTAGTTCCAGAAGTATTATATGGTGATCCAACGACAGATTCAGGTGATGAAATAAGATTTGTGGTAGAATTATGTCGCATTAAGAACCTTCCTGGATTATACATTGTGGATATCAAAAGAATGAAGGGTAATCTTTGGGCATACAAATTTTTGTATCATACGCTTCTCGATAAATTGGACTTAAAGGGCAAAGGAGGCTACTTAACTATTGGAACAAGTGGTGGAATAATTCCATGATGAAAATTACCAATATAGTTTAACCGTAAAAATATTAAGGCTTTTTTGTCTTTGGCTATTTCTAATTTTCGCTATCAATAATATGTTATTGGATTTAATATAGTATATTAAAAAAATATTTTCTACTATTCCAGATTGCATATTCTTCATTTTTTTTTTTTTCAGTGTTTATGGACAGTTTTTAATCATTATTCTATTTAATATTACTCTGGATTTTTTTTTTCTTTAATTCTTTTACTATAGGTGATTAGAAACCTGACTTAAATTTTGGAATCTATTTTTTTTTACTTTACAACATTTAGCTTTACAGTTTTTTTTTCTTTTTTTTTTTTTTTTCTTTTAATATTTTTTTTCTCTTTATCTTACAGTTCATTATATACATAAAAATTGTTTTAACAACTTTACAGAAAATTTTGAAAAAAAAATTTTGGAACTTTATTATATAAATACTATCAATATAAAAAATGAAAAAAATAATTTGCTAGTGTTTAATACATATTGATTATTTCATTTAAACATTGATATATATTATTATTAAAAATAAATAAATAAATAATACAGTAATATTAATGAAAATACTGTACAAAGTATTATTTAATTTTGGAATTTTATTTTATTTGTAAACTACAATATATAATACTGCTTTATTTACGTTTTTTTACATTTTACATCTTTTACATAGCATGTAATTTTTTTTAAAAAAATGCACTACGTAATAAAAAATTTTAAACATGTGTTCTCTAATGTTATACATATGATATTAATAATTTGACAGATAAAATCGAGATTAGCTATTTTATTTTTATTAAATTTACTACGTAAAATCCATTTATATGCAATATATATATTGTATATATATACTGGATTTATTAACATTAACCTTAAATCCTAACTTAATCCTAATTTATCCAAATGACTCCTAAAAAATTTTCGTATTAAAATTAGGTTCAATTCTTGGCATCAGCCAATCTTAGTTTCAACTACCAGATTTTATATAAAAATAAAATGTTTCGATTATTGCAGTACAGTATTGTGATAATTTTAGTTACAAAGTTGTATTACATAAATAGCTCTACATTTAATATCCACCTGGGCTCCCAGTCTGGTGCTCTACAAATTTCTGTTTTAGTGCTTTTAACTGTAAGTGTTCAAGATCGAGTGTAACTCCAAAACAATCGAAAAATTGTCTATAGCTACCAATTTACACGTATGAAACAAGTATTCTGCGCACCAACAAAACGTTTACTTTACGTTAATAAATCCCTTTATAGTCTAATTGAAGAGCAAATCCTAATCCTAAAAAAATTTTTTAGCAAAAAAAAAATTTTAATTGGTGACGCTAGGGCCCTAGCCTGGTCCGATTCGCTTTTATATTTATAAATTCTAGGATAATTTTTTTGATGATTGAATCGGCTTTGATCTCAACTTTTTTTTTAAATTTTAAATTAACATATATATACCCTATATAAGCATAGCGGGCTTTCATTCCGATTGGCTAATTTTTGTAGATCATTCCGTGATTTTACAAGATATGATTGGCCAATA